TAGTTCGTAGTAGTAGTAGTAGTAGTAGTAGTCGTAGTAGTAGTATAGTAGTAGTAGTAGTAGTAGTAGTAGTAGTAGTAGTAGTAGTAGTAGTAGTAGTAGTAGTAGTAGTAGTAGTAGTAGTAGTAGTAGTAGTAGTAGTAGTAGTAGTAGTAGTAGTAGTAGTAGTAGCAGTAGTAGTAGTAGTAGTAGTAGTAGTAGTAGTAGTAGTAGTAGTAGTAGTAGTAGTAGTAGTAGTAGTAGTAGTAGTAGTAGTAGTAGTAGTAGTAGTAGTAGTAGTAGTAGTAGTAGTAGTAGTAGTAGTAGTAGTAGTAGTAGTAGTAGTAGTAGTAGTAGTAGTAGTAGTAGTAGTACTAGTCGTAGTAGTACTAGTACTAGTACTAGGAGTACTGGTAGTCGCACAGAGAGTTCAAAAACGCTTGTCGGGCATGCCCGGCTTCAGTCTCGCGGACCTACTCTAAAATCATATTTTTAGAATTCCTTATGTTGTTTCATGCCCTGCCGTCATCGCGCGAGTGATAGTCGAAAACCTAGTTTTTAATAATGGTCACGGCTATCTTCCCCCACTTCTTCCTCCTCTTCCTTTTCTCCTTTTCCCCCTCCTCCTCCTCATCTCGCCCCTGGCGGAGGTTGCAAAGCGATAAATTTGGAGAAATGTTTGGGGGAAGATTTGCGGAAAATTTGAGGGAGGAAGACCTGCGGGAAAATAGGAGGGAGGAAGATTTGGCGGAATATTTGGCGGAGCATTTGGCAGAAGATTTGCGGGAAGATCTCGCGGGAGATTTGGAGGATCAATCTGGAAGATAAATTTGGCGGAAGATTTGGAGGAAGATATGACGGAAGATTGGGAGGAAGATTTGCCGGAAGAGTTGGCGGAACATTTGGCAGAAGATTTGCGGGAAGATTTCGCGGGAGATTTGGAGGATCAATTTGGCGGAAGATACATGTAGCGGAAGATGTGGCGGAAGATTTGACGGAACATTTGGAGGAGGATTTGTCGGAAGATTTGGCGGAAGATCTCGCGGGAGATTTGGAGGATCAATTTGCCGGAAGACTTGACGGAAGATTTGGAGGAAGATTTGGCGGAAGATGTGGCGGAAAATTTGGCGGAATATTTGAAGGATAAATTTGGCGGAAGATAGCGGAAGATTTGGCGGAAAATTTGGAATATGAATCTGTCGGAAGATGTCGCACAAGATCTAGCGGAAGTTTTGGTGGAAGATTTGGAGGAAGATTTGGCGGAAGATTTGGAGGAAGATTTGGAGGAGAAATTCCGTTGGACGTGGGGGGAGATCCGGGACCAGGGGGGGTTCGGGGACCTGGGGGGGTCCGGGGACCCGGGTGGGTTTGCACCGATGACTACGGCGACGGCACCTGCAACGGCCTCGACAGCGATCACGACGACGACGCCGACGAGACGACGACGACGACGACGACGACGACGACGACGATGACGACGACGCCCACGGCAGCTGCGGCCGCGACCGCGAGCGCGGCCGCGACCACGGCCTCGACCACCGTGGCCACGACGGCGGCGGCCAGCGGCCCCCGGCCCTCGAGCGGTGGACCCTCCTCGCGGCGCCCCGAGGAGGCCGAGGAGGGCGCGCGGGAGGTGCCGGCGCTCCGGCGCGCGCTGGAGCCCGGCGTGGTGAGCGACATGAAGGACGGGCGTATGGGCTGTCAGGCGCGCCCGCCCCGGTGTCCCAGGCTCTCGGTATCGTGTGACCACTCCCCATCCCCATCCCTTTCACAATACCCCCACCAAGTTACCACCCCAGTTGGGGATACACGTCTCGAAACCCGAAGGATACGGCCTATGTCCCCATCTAGGGGGGTAAATCGGCCAGTGGGGCCCAGGCCACGCCGCTGGGGATGGGGATCGGATAAACGATACTCAGGACGGGCGTATGGGCTGTCAGGCGCGCCCGCCCCGATGTCCCAGACATCAGAGGAGGAAAAGGTACCCATACCTCTACCCCCCCGCCCGTTGTCCCCTTTTTCGGGCCTCCTGGGCGGCCCTCGTCGCCACCGCTGGATTCGCCTCGAAATCCTGGTCAGAACTTACCCCGGGAGAGGTCCGGGGAGTAGCGGTATCGGTATCTTTTGGTTTCCCCACATACCCCCTCGCGTCGTGAAGGAGTCACGGCGAGAGGCTCTCGCAAGTTTGTGTCTCTGGGGGCCGTCACCGGGCCCCCGGACCTTGTCCTTGGCCCTATGGACTGTCAACGAAGGCTCAGGAGAAAAAGATGATCCCCCGGATGGGGGTCCATACCTCTGGGGGCCCGTGTCGTGAAAGTCTGGGTTCCGAGGTTCGAGGATCTCGGGGGGAGGAAAAAGTAGTACGGAGACCGCTGCTCATCCTGGAGAGCGCTCGTCGCCACGGCTGGATTCTTCTCGGAATTCTGCTCATCTGCTCAGAACGCGCCATGGGAGAGTTGTGAAAAGCATTTGTATCGGTATCGTGCTGCCCCCTCAGGATAAAATGGTCCGAGGGTCCGCTGGTCGGGGGAGGGAGGCGCATGGGGTACCAGGCGCCTGCCCGAGCCCCGAGAGGGGGGGACAGCCGGGCTCCGCAGAGGCTTCCGCTGCCCTCCCAGAAGGGCTCAAAAGCAGCACCGTGGCCTTTGAGTTCAAGCTCCAGTCGAGGTTCTGACTCGTCCAGCCGGGGCCCCTTCGGGGATTCCACCGACCTTCCAGGAGCGTTGTGAAATAGAACCAGGGCCTTTAAAGTTAAACTCCAGTCACAAGGTTCTGAGCCGTCCAGATAGGTATGTCGAACGTGGCTACGACAGGGATGCGTCGTTCCAAAGCGTCCAGGACGCTCTGAGATGGCCGCGGCGCCCGATACGTCCTCCAGAATCGCCGAATCTCGGAGGTCCCCGAGTTTTCCTGGTCCGATTTTGTCTTGGTCCTGGCTTCAGTTTTGGGTCTTTGGTTTGCAGCCTTTTGGAAGGTCAGGGTCCTCGGGCCATGCCGGAGGCCAGCCGGGGCCGCTGGGGTCCGGTCGCCTGTGATGGGGGGTCACGCAAATGGGGGTCAAGAAACCACCCTTGTTGCCAGCCAGTTCCGCGCATCCAAATGTCTGACCAGGTGGCGTTCGTGCGGTGCGCAGACCGCAATTCTCTGGCGACATTAGCAGTTGCGCCTCGAGCTTGGGAGAGCCACCGTCAGACATCCTGCGGGCATACCGAGCGTCGCACACGTTGCGAGCAGGGCCTCCGTTTCCGATCGCGCCGTTTGGGGTACGTGCGCAGACCCCCCAATTTGCGTGACCCCCCATCGCCGGCGAGCTGCGGGGGGGTCCCACGGGGCCAAGCGAGCGGGCGGGGGCCGTGGCGTCGCGAATAAACCACGACGAGAGGTTCTTGCCCTTGTTTTGGCATCGCGAAGGCGGCCAGGAGCGGCCAGCAGAGGCTTGTCTTTCCTCTTCGGTCTGGGTCAGGGGCTGCGAGCCTTGTTTCTCCTGGGGTCTGCCGTGTTGTCGATCGGCATATTTTGTTCGATCCACTGGGGTTGGTTGCCGTGCTACGGGGCCGTCAAAAAATCAGTCGGGGTTCAAGCTGCCCCCAGGAAGGACTCCAGACTTGGTGGGCCCCAGGAAACTCCAGAGCAGATGACTTGATTTACTGTTTCCCATATTTGTTGTTCTGTAGCATCAGCGCGCAACAAACAATAGCCAATTGCTAACCACATTGCGAATCAAGCGCCGAATGGCAGCCGGAACCAGAGCCATAGCAAAAGAGGCAACGGAACCGCAAGAGAAGGAGACCGAACCAGGAGACAAGCGGAACAAGAGAACAGGCAAAACAATCAACAATCGCCTTGTCGCTTCCAGGGCACTTTTGAGGGTCCAGACTTCTGGGGTGAGCAAAATCACACCGTCGGATGTCTGAGGAGGGCGCACGCATGGGCTGCCAGCCCATCCCGGCGCACGGTCTGCCGGGCGCGCCCGGCCTTCCTCGCGCTGGCCAGCCGGAGACCACATGATTGGGCGTTCCAGACAGGGCCTCGCTTTGACATCGAGAGGCTGCCATCTCTCCTCCGGCGGAGGCGAAGCGGCGGGGGGGGCGACGGTGGTTCGGTCCTGTTGAGAAGCGGTCGTGCCCGACGGCATCGTCGTCGAGCGCCTCGGCGTCGTTGTCGTCGTCGCCGTGGAGCGTCTTGGCTTCGTCGTCCGCCTGACTGTCTGGCTGACCCTCAGGCATGGCCGCGCCGACTCCGTGGAATGGGGGCGCGCGTGCGAGAAGCGGGAAACGCTTGTGAGAATGCGCGTCGCGAGCTCAACGCCACAGACAGCTGCGACAATTTCCGAGTGGGTGCATGCGCGCGTGCGCAGCGCGAGGCAGGCCCGGGCTGACGACAGATCGCTCCAGGTCGTTCCGGAACGCTCCCGGAGCATTGTGGAGTGCTCTGGAACGGCCGCGGCGCCCGTTGCATCCTCCAGACCCGCCGGCTCTCGGAGATTCCCGACATGTCCCCGCCCGCGGCCAGCGTCCTCTTGCCTTCCCTGCAGAGCCGGCGCTGCGAAGCAAGTCAACGTTCGAGACGAGACATCGCGAACGGAGCCCCAGAGCCTCGGGCCGAACGAAAGGGGGGGATAGGGAAAGGGGGGTTACGAAATCTGCTGCATGCAGCTGGTTTCGGCCCCACCGCCGGGCCCATTCCTCGACATATGGGCGCCTGCGCCGGGAGGCGCCGGGAAAATCAGCTACGTGAGCTGATTCTCAGAACCCCCCCATTTGCTAATTATCCTCCCCTTTCGCCCAGCCCCAGAGCCGACCTCTCTGCCCGAGGCCGTGCAGCAAAGGCGCCCGGTGTGAGGGAGCGCCCGGAGCTCAGGGCTCGTCTCAGGGCGGGTGCTGGAAGGCGCGCGTGCCCCTCCACCAGGGAGACCAGGGTCGCACACAGGGGATAGGGGGCCACATTCAAACCCTACCCCTACCCAGAGATCCAACGTATTGAAAAATCAGCACGGAGGTTTTTCGCCTTTTTCTGCCTCCAGGGGCCCTCGCCGGGCCCCAGGACCGTCAAAAAACGACTCAGGATGAAAAACCGGTCCCGGGGAATGGATCGAGACTTCCAGGGACCCCGCATTGAAAAAATCACGACATCGGATCTCTTGGCCCCTACCCCCGCAGAACTCGTGGGGGGTAGGGGTAGGGGTTCGCATGTGGCCCCCCAAGGGAGGGAAGGGAAGGGGGGGGGCCACGAAAATTGGCTCACGAAGCTGGTCTTGGCCCCGCCGCCTGGCGCCCTGCCCCGATCCCATTGGCAACGCAGGCGCCGGGAGGCGCCGGGAGGGCCAGCCACGTGAGCTGAGCCACTAGCAGGACCTCAGGTGAGGGGACACGGTTAGTGGTAGGGCCCGGGAGCCCCTAAGTTGGCCAGAATCACTAAACCAGGTCTGCCGTAGTTTGTGCTTTGTTCGGGTGACGGCAGTTCCGGTTAGTGGAAACGGGACGGGGGGGGCGTCCCCCAGTACACATCACTAAACCAGGCTTAAGCCCAGTTCTGCCAACGCCCGCCTCTAACCTCCAAACCCTCATCCGTCCAACCCGAGAAGGAGGAGGCGGTGGCTGTTGAGGAAGGAGAGGAAGACCCAGGAGTCCGACGTTGCGTCCCCCGTTGCACGATATCCGACCCCGAACCAAGCCTCTGGGTCGGTTTGGGAGGTCGCTGTGGCGATCGCGGCGACCACCTTCTGGGGCAACGTTCTGGTCAGGGAGCGGCATGCCTCTTCCCGGCCCCCCCGCCCAGCTCTGCGATGCACGCAGTCCTGCCCTTGTGCTTCGGGGTCGAGGGTCACGCAGCCAGACGGCGCGCTCTCTTTCCTCACCGCGGCCTCCCGGGTCGGCGCCAAGGCCGCCCTCCTGAGGCTGCCCGGCCGCGGGGGGCGCTTCCCGCTGGCGGACACGCTGTGCGCCGTGGTCGTCGGGGGGGAGCGCTGCGAGGAGCCGGCCCTCTGCTGCCTCCTCTTTTCCCCCGGACACGCTGCACGCTGCCGGCGCCGATGTCGGTGATGACGCTTCCTCCCTCCCGTCCTCCCTGGCATCCCCCCCCTCCGCTTCTTGCTACGGCTGTTTCTCTTTGACCCCGTCCGCGTCAGCACCGTATGTCAAGCAGTGGCGAAGCGTCCTGGCTCGCCTACAGCCCTACCAAACAATGTTCTAAGAACCTTGTGTGGTTTCCACGACATGTTCTTAGAACATTTCTGGCGGAGTCTGTCTTGCTTTAACACATCGGGTTTATGTTCTAAGAACATGGTTTTTGTTCTTAGAACATTTTTGGGTTCTAAGAACATGTCGTGGTTGGTCTATAGGAATGCCGGGACGGTCGGTCCCTGCTCAAGTATGCTCGGCCCCAGCGAGCCAGTGCGCGACCCGTTGTCTGCTCGCGGCCGCCGCGGCGCGCGCCAGAGGGCTACCATCCGGCGGGGGCCGCGCAGGTCATCCTGGACGGCTGCGCGGCCACCGCCTTCATCACCGTCAGCCCAAAGAAATTCAGGATCGGACGTGGCCGCGCTGCTGCCCCGTCCGTCTTGAGCACTGCGCTGGGACCCATCGTCCGCCGTAGGCGGACGGCCGCTTTGAGCAGGGTCCTCTACCTGCAAGGAGGAAAGACTGGTCTACTCTGTAAGAACGGTTTTTTGAAGGCAGATCTGCCTTCAAAAAATGGTCTACTCTGTAAGAACGGTTTTTTGAAGGCAGATCTGCCTTCAAAAAACCGTTCTTACAGAGTAGACCACTGCTGCAGGCGATCGCTGCCGAAGTCGCGGCGGCGGTCGCGTGGGAGCCGCGGCTCGGCGAGCCGCGGCTCCTCGGGCGCCGCTCGCTGCCCCTCGCCACCGCTGGGGCGCTGGGGCGGGGGCGGCCGCTCCCGCCAACCCCTGCGCTCTCGGGTGGGCTCGCCCGTTGGCTGGCCGATGCGGCCTGCCTCTCTGCAGGAGGGAGAGAAGCACACAGACACAATGTCAGAGCCCCGAATCATCAGGGGTAACTCGGGTCAGGGATAACTCGGGTTCGTTTTTCGGGAATCCAAACCCGAGTTACCCCGGACCCGAGTTACCCCGGATAACTCGGGCGTCCAGAGCCCCGAATCATCAGGGGTAATTCGGGTCAGGGATAACTCGGGTTCGTTTTTTTACCCCGGACCCGAGTTACCCCGGATAACTCGGGCGTCCAGAGCCCCGAATCATCAGGGGTAACTCGGGTCAGGGATAACTCGGGTTCGTTTTTCGGGAATCGAGTTACCCCGGACCCGAGTTACCCCGGATAACTCGGGCGTCCAGAGCCCCGAATCATCAGGGGTAACTCGGGTCAGGGATAACTCGGGTTTTTTCGGGAATCCAAACCCGAGTTACCCCGGACCCGAGTTACCCCGGATAACTCGGGCGTCCAGAGCCCCGAATCATCAGGGGTAACTCGGGTCAGGGCTAACTCGGGTTCGTTTTTCGGGAATCCGAACCCGAGTTACCCCGGACCCGAGTTACCCCGGATAACTCGGGCGTCCAGAGCCCCGAATCATCAGGGGTAACTCGGGTCAGGGCTAACTCGGGTTCGTTTTTCGGGAATCCAAACCCGAGTTACCCCGGACCCGAGTTACCCCGGATAACTCGGGCGTCCAGAGCCCCGAATCATCAGGGGTAACTCGGGTCAGGGATAACTCGGGTTCCTTTTTCGGGAATCCAAACCCGAGTTACCCCGGACCCGAGTTACCCCGGATAACTCGGGCGTCCAGAGCCCCGAATCATCAGGGGTAACTCGGGTCAGGGCTAACTCGGGTTCGTTTTTCGGGAATCCAAACCCGAGTTACCCCGGACCCGAGTTACCCCGGATAACTCGGGCGTCCAGAGCCCCGAATCATCAGGGGTAACTCGGGTCAGGGCTAACTCGGGTTCGTTTTTCGGGAATCCAAACCCGAGTTACCCCGGACCCGAGTTACCCCGGATAACTCGGGCGTCCAGAGCCCCGAATCATCAGGGGTAACTCGGGTCAGGGATAACTCGGGTTCGTTTTCGGGAACTACCCCGGACCCGAGTTACCCCGGATAACTCGGGCGTCCAGAGCCCCGAATCATCAGGGGTAACTCGGGTCAGGGATAACTCGGGTTCGTTTTTCGGGATCCGAACCCGAGTTACCCCGGACCCGAGTTACCCCGGATAACTCGGGCGTCCAGAGCCCCGAATCATCAGGGGTAACTCGGGTCAGGGCTAACTCGGGTTCGTTTTTCGGGAATCCAAACCCGAGTTACCCCGGACCCGAGTTACCCCGGATAACTCGGGCGTCCAGAGCCCCGAATCATCAGGGGTAACTCGGGTCAGGGATAACTCGGGTTCCTTTTTCGGGAATCCAAACCCGAGTTACCCCGGACCCGAGTTACCCCGGATAACTCGGGCGTCCAGAGCCCCGAATCATCAGGGGTAACTCGGGTCAGGGATAACTCGGGTTCGTTTTTCGGGAATCCAAACCCGAGTTACCCCGGACCCGAGTTACCCCGGATAACTCGGGGGCCCCGTCATCACTCGGGTCAGGGCTAACTCGGGTTTTTTTTCGGGAATCCAAAAACGAGTTACCCCGGACCCGAGTTACCCCGGATAATTCGGGCGTCCAGAGCCCCGAATCATCAGGGGTAACTCGGGTCAGGGCTAACTCGGGTTCGTTTTTCGGGAATCCAAACCCGAGTTACCCCGGACCCGAGTTACCCCGGATAATTCGGGCGTCCAGAGCCCCGAATCATCAGGGTAACTCGGGTCAGGGATAACTCGGGTTCGTTTTTCGGGAATCCAACCCGAGTTACCCCGGACCCGAGTTACCCCGGATAATTCGGGCGTCCAGAGCCCCAATCATCAGGGGTACTCGGGTCAGGGCTAACTCGGGTTCCTTTTTCGGGAATCCAACCCGAGTTACCCCGGACCCGAGTTACCCCGGATAACTCGGGCGTCCAGAGCCCCGAATCATCAGGGGTAACTCGGGTCAGGGATAACTCGGGTTCCTTTTTCGGGAATCCAACCCGAGTTACCCCGGACCCGAGTTACCCCGGATAACTCGGGCGTCCAGAGCCCCGAATCATCAGGGGTAATTCGGTCAGGGCTAACTCGGGTTCGGTTCGGGAATCCAAACCCGAGTTACCCCGGACCCGAGTTACCCCGGATAACTCGGGCGTCCAGAGCCCCGAATCATCAGGGTAACGGGTCAGGATAACTCGGGTTCGTTTTTCGGGAATCCAAACCGAGTTACCCCGGACCCGAGTTACCCGGATAACTCGGGCGTCCAGAGCCCCGAATCATCAGGGGTAACTCGGGTCAGGGATAACTCGGGTTCGTTTTTCGGGAATCCAAACCCGAGTTACCCCGGACCCGAGTTACCCCGGATAACTCGGGCGTCCAGAGCCCCGAATCATCAGGGGTAACTCGGGTCAGGGATAACTCGGGTTCGTTTTTCGGGAATCCGAACCCGAGTTACCCCGGACCCGAGTTACCCCGGATAATTCGGGCGTCCAGAGCCCCGAATCATCAGGGGTAACTCGGGTCAGGGCTAACTCGGGTTCTTTTTCGGGAATCCAAACCCGAGTTACCCCGGACCCGAGTTACCCCGGATAACTCGGGCGTCCAGAGCCCCGAATCATCAGGGGTAACTCGGGTCAGGGATAACTCGGGTTCCTTTTTCGGGAATCCAACCCGAGTTACCCCGGACCCGAGTTACCCCGGATAACTCGGGCGTCCAGAGCCCCAATCATCAGGGGTAATTCGGGTCAGGGATAACTCGGGTTCCTTTTTCGGGAATCCAAACCCGAGTTACCCCGGACCCGAGTTACCCCGGATAACTCGGGCGTCCAGAGCCCCGAATCATCAGGGGTAACTCGGGTCAGGGATAACTCGGGTTCGTTTTTCGGGAATCCAAACCCGAGTTACCCCGGACCCGAGTTACCCCGGATAACTCGGGCGTCCAGAGCCCCGAATCATCAGGGGTAACTCGGGTCAGGGATAACTCGGGTTCGTTTTTCGGGAATCCAAACCCGAGTTACCCCGGACCCGAGTTACCCCGGATAACTCGGGCGTCCAGAGCCCCGAATCATCAGGGGTAACTCGGGTCAGGGATAACTCGGGTTCGTTTTTCGGGAATCCAAACCCGAGTTACCCCGGATAACTCGGGCGTCCAGAGCCCCGAATCATCAGGGGTAACTCGGGTCAGGGATAACTCGGGTTCGTTTTTCGGGAATCCAAACCCGAGTTACCCCGGATAACTCGGGCGCCCAACAATGAATCGTCGACTCCCAGGGCATATGGGAAAATGTGGGAAGTGGGGGGGGGAGACGAAGACCCCAAACATATGGGAGAATAAGGGGGATCATGGGACTTGTGTATATTTATTTGTGTGTGTCCCTGGGCCCCTAGATGTCCGTCGCTGCCGCCAAACTCCCCTTCTTCCTCTCCTGGCCTCTCCCTCCTGGGCCGGGGACCTCAGGGCGGCGGAGATGGAGGCTTTCGTTCGAAAGGGGAAACAGGAGGTCGAGGGCGAGAAGCTCCCGCGCCAATGCGCCAAGCCATGCGCCGTGGCGCAGCGCCGCTCCCGCTCGCCCTTCGGGCGCAACGGCTCAGCGAAGCGACGCCCCTCGAACGGAAGCCAGCGCCAACCACCTTCTCTCGCGCGACGAATTCCGCCAGCACGCGCTTGGCAGCGCGCAGGGAAGCCAACGGCGCGAAGGCAAAAATGCGCTCGGGATGGAGGGGTTGGAGTTGGTGGACCCTTCTAACTTCCGCCGCCTCTCTGGTCATTCCTTTCCCGTCGCCATTTCGCCCTGGTTGAACTGCCTTGCTGGGCCTCGCATGCGTACCGCCAGTCGCGCTTCGCCCGCCTTTGGCCCCCCTGGGCGCTGGAGGTGCACAATCCAGCGATGGACCGACTCGGGAGGCATGGGCCCCCGACGCATCCACGTGTCCCGCGTTGCGGCCCTTGATGCCGACCTTGCCGCCGACAGCGTCCGAAAGACAGGCGTCCCCCACAGCCGTTCCGTGGAGGAAGACGAGCTGCGTCGCGCGGTCTGTTTTGTCCCGCCTGCTCTAGCAGTGGACGTTGCGGTTCCCGGCGCGATTGGTATTCGACGCCCCAGCGATGTTGTTGCGGTCCCGAAAGGGAGTCTCCCCAGAATTCATGGCGCCTCTTCGTATTTCGTTGCGTCCGTGGCCCCCCGCTGGGCGGCGCTCGTGCCGCTGGCCACGTTCTGCGCCCCCCTCTCATGGATGCCCCCCGCCTGGCGTGGCACAGGGCACTCGGTGGGCCGTGGCTCTGGGTCCGTTCCCGATTCTGCGGGCCCCCGCCACCGACCCGTAATGCCAGCGGCGGCCTCAACAAGGAGCGGGCCGCGGTCTGGGATGTCGTTGCCGCTCCCGCTGCGGTACTCCGCCCCCGCCGTTTGCGAGCGGTGTCATGGGCGTGGTTCGCTCGAGCCCTCACGACATGCCGCAGTCCCCCCGTGTATACGCGGGGTTTCCCCCGTGCTCCTGTCGGGCTCATTTACGGTGGTGGCAGACGCTACCTGCGAGCCCGCTTGGTCGGGTGTTCCCGACGGGCTCTCGCCGCCAAGTGGTTTGGGCGGCGGCGTCGGCGCGGCAGCTGCAGGAGGGCCTTCTCCAAGGGGCAGGGGCGTGGGGGCAAAGCTCGTAGGGTAAGAGCGAACCTAAGCAGCTCAATCGTCGGCAAGAGCAAACCTAAGATCCGAGCTTCTGCCGATTGGGGGTCGTAAGGACTGCGACTGATGAGTCAAGCGCGCTGGCCGAGCGTATTGGAATATGGCCCTGGGAACAGCGGTGCCCCATTCAGCGACCTCCGACTGATCGTGTCCGTGTCCTCGTGGGTGGAAAACACATTCCATGTCCGGCCTCGCGGGCGGGGCCCTCGTGCCGTGGCCCCGTGGATGCGGAGCGCGTGCTCGCGAATACCCCGCGCGGGACGCATCCATGCGACCGCGTATCCGCAGGAGCACGCTCCAGAGTCCAGGTCGCGAGGGCGGCGCGGATATGGACACGTTCGTCGCTCGAGATGTGCTGCGTCCGTCCCACACTCAGCCACGCGCAGAGGGGGGTGGGGGGGAGGGGGGGGGCTTCTTTGAAGCACCCCTGCTTCTTAGGAGGCGCGGCCCTGATCTATAGATGCAAGGCTGGCGCCCTCTAAGATGCAGCCTCATTCCAAGAAGCCCTCCCCCCTCCCTCCACCCCCTTTGTGCGCGCCGCCGATATACGCGTGCGATGCATCCTCGCTGGGGGCAGCCTGCTGCCGAGCGCCCTGAGCCCCCCCCCCCCCCCCCCCGGCAGGACAGCGGCGAGGGCCCCCGCGTCAGGCCCGCCCCCCGGGGCGCGCTGGGGCTGCCGCCCGGCCACCCGACGGTCGCCGACGACGGTGGCGACAATGCGGGCGATGGGCGACGGCCACATCTGCACGAACGAGGTGGGCACGGGAAGAAGGGGTACAATGCCAAACAGCGGATCCTGTTCATTTTGAACAGGACCCGCTGTCCACGCCGCCACGGCCTGTGTCCATTCGAGACAGAAGGCCGCCTGCCCAACAGCGGCCGCTGTTGGTTTGGGACAACATTTGTTGTTGGGCATTGTACCCATTCTTTCCGTAATCATTTCGGGCGTTCAAATCAGAGGCGCACTGCCCAATCGTGCTGGCGTCAAGTCGGGCCTGTCCCTCTACAGGAAGTGATTATTGTTTGGTTATCTTTTTGACTATTTGGGGGCATTTTTTGGTGTAGATTTAATTTTTCACCCAAAATCCGCCATTAGGGGGACACGCCCGACCTCATGCTGGCGCCGTGGCAAAATCGCGACGGAAGGCTTTTGGCCGCTCTCGGCCTCACGAGGCGTTCGCCGGGCACCGGGGCCGTCAAGAAGCGACCCAGGATACAGTTTTGGCCCCGGGAAAAGGGCCAAGGGTCGGGACTTCCAGGGGTCGGCGCCCCCCCAACATACTTATGCTATATGTGCGTCGCCCGCCTGGAGGCGATGCGCGCATGGAGAAGTCTTATGTTTGGGACGGACGCGCGCCTCCAAGGAGAACGTATAGTACTAGTACGTCTTTGTGCGTCCCAAGGGGGGCCGTATCGAACAGATCAGGACAACGCATGTCCTGGGTGGCGGCGTGCACAGGGAGGGGGGTGCGCGAGGGGTGGGGCCCTCCAGGAAGGCGGGGGAGCCTCTGAGAAGGCAGGCAGGGCCTGGAGGCTTCTAAGAGGTCTTCTTGGAGGCTCCACTCCTCGCCTTCCCCCTTGCCGCGCGCCGCCAAGAGCAAGAAGTCATGCTAATGATACTCAGGAGGGGAAAAAACACAGACACAATGAATCCTCGATTCCCCAGAAAATATTGGAAACTATGGGAAGTGGGGGGGAAGACAACAAAAACAGAAACTATAAGACAACATGGGGGATCCGGTTATTTGTGTCTATGTATTTGTGTATCCCAGGGCCCCTTCAGATACGTCCCAGCGTTTTCAGGAGCTCCAAGATTTTCAGGACCTCTGGCTGCACCGCGCGGGCTAGAGTTAACCCGAATATTGAGGATGAACAACTTTCCAAGGTTGCACCCCACCCTTATGATGCTCCAACCTACTTTAGCCTTGATCACTAGAAGGAATTTCGAGCACCAGAAAAGTACCGAAACTCGAGAGTTTTCACGTGCCAGGCCCTAGGAGACACTCGTCCGACACTGTTTCGACACTCTTTCGACACTTTTCCGGGTGCTCGAGATTATGTTTGGGATGCAGTCCTTAAGTAGGATGGGATCAACATAACCCCACCCTTGCATACTTCCCCGTCGGCCCATCCTTGGCCGCTCTCGCTGGCCGCGCCCCGCTCGCAAAGTGTCGACATGGCCTTCCAAGGCCCTTGCATCCGTGCCGCGCATCCTTATTATACGGGTTGGCTGTATCCAGAGACGAGGGCCGCTGGGTTACCCGGGAATTCCTGGAACGTGCTTTGAGCCGATCCTGTCATGACATCGTTCTCGTCTTAGTCAGCGACCAGCGAGGCGACGAGGGCGCCGAGCAGGGCGACGAGTAGGGCGACGAGCGACGACGACGCCGTGCAGCGGCGACGAGCGACGAAGACGACGACGACGACGACGATGTCTCAGACGGCGACGAGCGAGGCGACGAGGACGCCGAGCAGGCCGGCGACGACGTCCAGCGGCGGCCACCGCCAGCAGCGCGGGCGGATCGCGACCACGCGGGGGTACCTCGAGGTTCCCCGGCCTCTTCGCGGGCGTGAGCCGGGCCGTTTGCCTGGACATCGGCATGGGTCGGAGGTTGGGGGGTGAGATCGCAGTGGAACGGCGACCCCCAACCGGTAAATCGTTTCGTTTCGTTCGTGTCGTGCGTGCGGGCGAGGCGAAGCTGCGCGGGCGCGCGAGAGGAATGAACCCGCCGTTGCTAGGGCGAAGTCAAGACAAATGATTCTCCTCCGCCCGCCCGCCCGTCTGGTGGTGGCTCGCGGTGTCCCGCGGTGTCCCGTGGTGTCCGCCGTTGTTAGGGCGAAGTCAAGAAAAATGATTATCCCCAGCCCACCCGCCCGTCCGGCGGTGGCTCGCGGTGTCTCGCGGTGTCCCGTGGTGTCCCGTGGTGTCCCGTGGTGTCCGCCGTTGCTAGGGCGAAGTCAAGACAAATGATTATCCCCCGCCCGTCCGGCGGTGTCCCGTGGTGTCCGCCGCGGCTAGGGCGAAGTCAAGACAAATGATTCTCCCCCTCCCGCCCGTCCGGCGGTGGCTCGCGGTGTCCCGCGGTGTCCCGTGGTGTCCCGTGCTGTCCCGTGGTGTCCCGTGGTGTCTTGTTGAGTGAGATCGATATTGAGATCGATACTGAGATCGATGCGGTGCCCCGAGGTGTTTCGTGGTGTCCCAAAAGTCAGATCGATAGTGAGATCGACAGGTGTAGAGTGGTGTTCTGTTGTGCCCCGTTGAGTGAAATCGATAGTGCGATCGATGGTGAGATCGATACTGAGATCGATGTGGTGCCCCGAGGTGTCCCGTGGTGTCCCAAAAAGTGAGATCGATAGTGATATCGATCGTGAGATCGACAGGTGTCCCGTGGTGTCCCGTTGTGTCCCGTGGTGGCCCGTTGAGTGGGATCATAGTGAGATCGATGGCGAGATCGATACTGAGGTCGATGTGGTGTCCCGAGGTGTCCCGTGGTGTCCTACGGTGTCCCGTTGAGTGAGATCGATGGCGAGATCGATCGTGAGACCGATCGTGAGATTGGTATTGAGATCGATACTGAGAGCGATGTGGTGTCCCGAGGTGTCCCGTGGTGTCCAGTGGTGTCCCGTTGAGTGAGATCGATGGCGAGATCGATCGTGAGACTGATAGTGAGATCGAGAGGTGTCCCGCGGTGTCCCGTTGTGTCCCGTGGTGGCCTGTGGTGTCCCGTGGTGTCCCGTTGAGTAAGATCGATCGTGAGATCGATAGTGAGATCGACAATTGCCCCGTGGTGTCCCGTGGTGTCCAGTTGAGTGAGACCGATAGTGAGATCGATTGAGCCAGATGTTGGTTCCCCCCTCTCCCTCCCCACAACCCCCTTATCACCCGAAAGGTGGTCGTATAGGGTCATGGCCCATCTTTTCCCCCTCCCCTCTCATATCTTCCTCATCCTCCATGTTCTCCTCGTCCTCCTCTGCCTTTTCCTCATTATCCCCCTCCCCCCTCCCCTTCTAGTCGTTTTTTTTTGTTCGTAGCCATTTTGGCTCAAGACGTTTGCACCTGAGGGTTTCCGTGCCCTCGTGCCTAACGGGATTGCTCTGTTTCCCGAGCAAGGCAAGGCAGTTCTGCCTGGCGCCGCCCGCCCCGCCGCGCGTTTCTCTTGGCCCTGTGGTTGGCTTCGCTGTACCAGATTGCAGGCGAGGAACGATTGCGCCTGGCAGCCGCGGGGAGCTCACGCCAGACTGGCACTGTAAGTTCTGCAAGTACGAGCGCGGGCCCAAGGTCGGGATGCCCTGCGTTACCTTCGGGACTAAGAAACAATGCCACTTTGTGTGTGCGACAAGTCGGTTGGTTTCCTCGGCCATGCTCGTGGGGAAGAAGGAGTCCCACGCCGTCGCCAACCGAGTGGCCCAGCGGCCGCAGACGGTGTGGGCGGCGTGGTCGTGCAGAACGCCGCGATGCAGAAGGAGATCGCGAAGTTGCGAGAAAAGATCAAGAGTCTACGGGCTGCGAGCAAAACCAAGGGGCACCAGTCTGAAGCGGCGAAGGCCACTGAGGAGGGTGCCGCAGATGACGCAGATGAAGCACAACGGAAAGTCTTGGCACAATGGGACGAGTATCTGCCTAGTCTGCATGCTATCACGTCGCCTGGACACGACCGACAAGCTGGATGAGCAGAAGCGCAAGTTGGCGGAGAAGGTCCGCTCGAAGAAGCCCGTCCTCACGCAGCTGCTGGATCTGCAGAAGAGACTCAAGGCGAAGCTGGACGCCATCGCCAAGCAGGAGGCATCGGTCGCCAAGGCCGAGGAGGCGGTCAGAGGAGCGCGAGCGGGTCAAGACGCCGCGGGCTGATGAGCTCAAGCTGGAGGCGAAGACGCGCGAGCTTAACGCAGAGCCCCCCGAGCCTCCAGACGAGGAGGAGCCCCCCGTGGAGAGGGGTCCTGGCCTCATTCTGGCGGGCCTGGAGGGGCGGCCCAAGGGGCTCGGCGCCCCAGGAGAGGTCGCGGAGCGGCTCCTGGCCCGCCAGGAGCTCACCGAGAAGGTGCTCGCCCAGCCTGCTGCTGCCGAGCGCGCTCGCCCGGCCCCTGAAGGCGCCCCCGGCGAGGCTGGCGCGCAGGCGCCTGGCCCCAAGCCCCTCAAGTGCGCCGCCGACAAGGCGCCCGTCGAGACGCTGCGCGCCGGCCTCGCCGAGCGGCGGCGCCTGTCGACGAGGGCGCCATCAGGGCCATGGCGCGCAAGGTGGCGTCGGCCTCAAGCCAGTGGGCCTGCCAGGCGTACTACAGCGAGAGGCTTCGAGATGATGGTGATGTTTTGTTTTCTTGTCAAGTTGACGGAAGTTACAGCAGCGGCAAGCATTGCGGGCAGCATGGGCGATGCCAAAGGCGCGCTGGCCACGGTCGGCGATCCACGTGGGCTAGGGCTGACGGAATACCTCGTTGAAGCTTCTGAAAGCGACTTGTTCACGGCGCAGGGGCGCAGGGCCCTCGGCGACAAGCTGACCCGCTGCAGGGCCAGGTGCGCGACCTGGGCCACCACGGGCCGCGGGCCCCAGGCCAGACCACGGGCGCTGGAGCGCTCGAGGTGTCGAGCGGAGTGGCGCTCTTCACGCGCGACGTGATCTCGGCCACCGCGCCGCCATTCGCGCCCTCCCCCATCTAGGGGGGGGGGCGAGGCTCATGGGCGATTGGATTATGGAGATTGACGAGCTCAACGGGCCGTGTCTCGAGGGGGCGCGAGGCGCGCCCCGCCGCGCCGCCAGGGCCGACCAGCTGGCAAGCGGCCGAGGGCCCCTTCCTGGACTATGTCATCGCGGCGCCGAACCTGGACCCCGGGCTGAGCGGGGCGCGCGTCGCGACCGACGCGGCGCTGCGCCCGCGCCGCCCCGCGCGCGAGAACATCCGATGGCGACGGAAGAGCTGCCGAGGGACCCCAGGGGGGCCCGAGTTCATAGAAGCAGAATTTCACCAATGGAAGAAGATGAACTGTCTGATGGAACGGTCGTTCCTGCGCCGCCCACGACGAGACCGCCGCAAATGACATGCGCGCCTCTTCGGAGGTCGTTGCACGACGGCGCCCCGCACGGCATACGGAGTCGCAACGAAGTGATGCGCAGTAGAGCCGAGAATGCCGATGGTAGCGCGGGGAGGGCGCCCGATTCCGCGTCGGGGCCAGCTCCCGAACCAGCGAACCCACTTCTCGATGCCATGCGCAGGGCCGGAACACCAGTGCCGGGCATCGATTTGTTAGCCCGCAGAGAAGCTTCACTCGCTGTTGAATCGCATGAAGCGCTTGTCGGATTCCCTGATGAACGCGCAGCTCACAGGCCGCAACCCAAGGAGAAGACAATGAGTGCAAATAATGCGGCATATCATTGGGAATCTGAGGACGATGAAAGCTGCTTGCGACTGGCAAGACAAGACGAGTCGGGGAAATGGCGGAAGTTCAACGCCGCCGTACCTATTGATGCCGCGGACCTGCACAATCCCCTCGACGAAGGATACCGCACGGTACTTACGCAAGGATTGAGACTGACAAGAATGAACATCTCCGTAGACTGGGTGGACCTTCGGTTGCACCACAGTGCAAGAGTAGAATTGTCGCACGTGGAGATGTGGAAGAGTCGCCGGGCATGCGCGCGGATTCACCAACGTGCGAACTAGAAGGGTTAATGTTGATGCTATCATGGGCCGCCGGCGCAATGAGGACGCCCATGTGGGCCGGCGTTGCATCCGCTCACTTCCAGGGTCAGGAACACGACCGCCCCATGCTGCTCGCACCGCCGCCCGACGGACTCGAAGGGGCACTGGATGGTGGAGCACTGATCGCTCGCATGCCCGTCTATGACACGCGTGGCGCAGGACGAGGTTCATGAAAGAAGCTGCGCAAAACGTTTGGTCTCAAGGTCTACAGGGGGATCGTTTCATGCCTGCTTTGGCCAGTTTTCACGACGGTAGAAGTGAGATTACGCGTATGTTAGGCACGCGCGTGGATGACAGACTGCGGGCTGCAGATGATGACAGTCAGAAAATCATCGACTCGGTATTAGCAGAGCTTGATACTCGCGAGATTAAGTTGGATAGTTACGGTTCCTGCCGTTGAGAAGTTGTTCAAGATGAAGATTTCACGGCGGGTGCCGCGGCCGTGGCCAATATTGAGCAGATCGAATCTGCATCCTATCTTAGACACAGCCCACTTCACGAGACAATGCAAGGAAGGCGAGACCGCGCAGCTTAGATCGGTCGTAGGTGCTTTGTCATGGGTCACACGTCAGCGTGAACCTGAGCTATTTCATCGCGCGAGCAGACTGCAGACATCGGTGCCAACCGCGCGTTAGAAGAAGCAGCTCAGTCCGCTGATTGCGGATTAGTATGCAAAGGTGGATCCGTTAAGTGGAATCAAGATATGACAGTTCTTATTGTTACTGGCGCCAGCTGGGCAGGAGAAAACGATATGGTCAAAGGTAGAATCGAGCTTCTCAGATCACAGAGGGCGAGGTTCAATGGGCTCGCAGGGCCTGGATTCATCGACGGGAACGGTGATCCTGTTCTCCCTATGCGCATATTTAGTATAGCCGTCAAACGAGTATGTAAATCCACGCTACATGCAGAGACTGGCTTTCTGGCTTGTTTATTGGGTGTAGAATCTGGCGTGCGTGTTCGCGCCGCCATCGCAGATGCGCGTGGGATGCTTGGCGCCGGAAAGAAGCTGCCAACCAATTGGGGGGACAAACCAGCCATGCCTATGAAACATTTATGGATGACGGATTGTACACAGATTCGAAGAGCACCGAATAGCCCCAACTATGGGCAAGCCAGAAGATAAGCGCTCGATTTGGGTAGTTTAAAAGAATATGTGGTCGAATGGAATGGAAGAAGTATAGATTTCACATCCACGCATATTTTGTGATATGATCTCATGGATCGATACAAGTATTATGGCTGTTGGTTGTCTGACCAAGAATATGCCCACGGTTTTCCTTGCTTAGATCTTACGTGCTAGTTCGTATGACGTAACCCCAGAACCTGAGTCCACCTTAAAGGAGGTCAAGAGACAACTGGCGAGGGCCAGGGCGAATGCTATCCCATGGGGGAAGTGAGTGACTGGTTCGTGGCTGCTTTTGACTTAAGTAATCCCAGCATGGGAGTACTCTGTTTACTGCCCCTAAGGCTTACGCATACCAGCGGTACTGCGGTGTCTGTCGGCTAGCTCGTGTTAAAGTTTCACGGGGGTGAGATAGTGCATGCGCGGCGTGTGTATATGCACCACTAGCCGTCACTCGTAGCCATTTTGGTTCGAGGGGCCCCTTTTTGCCAATGCGCTAAAACGCATTAGAATCACAACTGTCTTTCCTCCAGCACCGTGCGTGCGTCGAAGAGGGGCTCCGTCCCTCACAAGGTCGGGGCGGACGAAACTGGCGTGGTGCGGAAGGGTGAGTTTAGAGAACCGCCGCATGCAACTGTTTCCGGCCCCAACGCCAGGCATTTTACCAGATGCATAGTCACCTCCGGCGCCAGAAGGCGCCCAGAGAAATGGTTGCATGCAGCTGATTCGCGCCCCTGTCCCCTTTGATGTTTTCCCCTGTTCATCCGCCCCTGAGGGAGGTCTCGGAGACGTCTTCTCTTCGGAGGTTTGGGTGTTTTTGGTTGGAGGTTCTCGCCGCAACGGTTGGACGCAGCTCGGGAATCTGGCCAGATGAACGCACGGGGGAATCCGGGCATAGGTTTCGCGCAGATGTCCTGAAGGACAGTTGCCTTGAGGGAGTGTTTGTCGTGAGGTGCCCCCTGGCTTGCAGCCCCCCCCGGGGCCGCTCTCCGGTCCTGGGGCCGTCAAAAGAAAAACGCTGAAGATGAGGAGGTTGGTCCTGGACAGCGCCCTGGGGTCCAAGGTCCGTTGTTTTCGAGTCAAGTCAAGTCCGGTCGAGGGGCCTGGAGGCCGTTCGCTCCGCAAGTGGAGACGGAGGGCGTGAAACAATACGGCAAGACAACGCGCATGCAAGAGAAATGGTGGATATCATATCGATACAAAACTCTATCTTACATCATGCGTGCTCTTCAGGACCCCTTTTCCCCTCAGGCCAAACTTGGCAGGTTCTCGCCGCGTCGACGTCTTGCTCAAGGGGCGAAGGCCACCAGCGGCCTGCACAGTCGAGCTTGATTAGAAGGTCCGCCCTGCCCAAACCAGGGTACCCTTTGTGTCCTGTGTTTCGCGACCCGTGCCCTCTATGTCGGCAACGTGGCCATCGGAGGGGTCTCGTGTCCTCCCGCGTGTCCTCTCCAATTCACCCCGACTGAGCCAGGCTCCCCCTCTCCACCCCCCCTTGGTGACAGCGTGCCGATCTAGTTTTTTTTTGTTTGCTTGAGCGGCTCGGCAGGCGTGGACACTTCCCTGCACCCAGGCGAAGGCCCCTGGGGTCGCCACGACGTCGTCGCGGTGTCGAGGCAGGAACCTCAGAGTGCCCGGTGCACACGCCCCGTAGGGCCAAGAGCAGTGCGAAAGAGAGAGCGTGAAAGAACGCAGGTTTTGCGTCGATGGAGCTGTGCGCCGGCAAGCGTACGGAGCAGCCGAAATAGCAAGGTGTATTTGCAATTCCTTGTCAGGACGGTCACTGTTACGAAGGGCCGGTCGTTATCTGGGATCTATGCGGAACTCGTTCGAAGCCGAGCTCATATCCTTGGAGTGGGGTTTGGCGGAAGTGATCGCACGGGTAGGGTAAATGGCGGGATGAGCAGGGTAGCATTCAGCATTGCACAGCGCATAGGGTGGGTGACTGCACCTGGGCCCAACAGGAGAAGAGGAAGAAGAACGATCTCCGTTGTCGGACGGCGGATATTGCTCAAGGCTCAATGTCGAACGATGTACGCGGTGTCAGCCTTGGGCAGATAGCATCTACACACGACCATGCCTGGCCAGGGCAGGGCATGATGTGTAGACCCCCCTGGCCGAGGCCAGGAGGGCGTATGCACAATGCTGGGGCCCATGGTTGCCCTGGCTAGGCGTGGTGGTGGGACAAAGATGCCGCCTGGGTGGTATCGCCTTTCATGCGATTGAGGCGCGTGCAATCGGCTCGGTGCCTTTCTTGGTGCGGCCCCGCGCAGGCAGTTCGCCACCACCTCTGTGTACGACGTGGCCGCCCGCGCTTGGCGGGAGGACGAAGCCGTGCCCCCTCTGTCGGCACCCCGCCGCCCTCGCTTCTTTTGCGCCGCACGTCTGCGTCTGCGAGCGAGCCTGCATCACCGCGAGGAAGGTTTGAGGGCCTGGCGGCATGGTGAGGCCAATCGGAGAACCCAGCGTCCTTCCCCCTGTCATCCTCCCCTCACCTTCTACCCTCCTCGCACGGGGAGGTGCAGGAGGGATGGACAATGACGAATCGGGAGGAGGTGGAATCAGTTGCTCATGTGTCTTCCCTGCTTTGCAGACATGGCAGCACGACCGCGACACAGAGGGAGATAGGGAGACAGAGAAAGAGAGAGACAGAGAGACAGATGTACATGTTCTTTGGCGAAGGTCCGCTACATTGCGCAGGGCAGCGAGAAACAGGGTGAGGGAGTCAGCGTTGAATGCTGGAATCGATGTGACTGCGAAAGAGCTGCTACCGCGACTCGAGGCGCAGATCCTTTGCACGGTTTCTTTCGGTCGCGATTGGTCAATATTTTACTTCATTATCCAGCTGCTTGCGACGGCGATGACGACGTCGAGGCACCTGGGCACGGCGACGTTGGCGACGACGTCGAGGCAGGCGGGCGCAGCGACGGCGACGTTGCCGAGGCGCTGGGCGCGGCGTCGTTGGCGACGACGGCGACGGCGACGAGGCACCCGGGCGCTGCGGCGGCGGTGGCGACTGCGCTCCAAGGCCGCGGGCGCCAGCGGCGGCGGCGTCACCCCCGCGCGCGGGCGCGCGCGCGCGCCTCGCCCCCACGCTCGCGAGGCGCCGCGCACGGCCGCCGCGCTCTGCGTTGGGCCTGGACGCGGCTGCTCCCTGCTGGAGCCCGCCTCGCCGTGACCCCGAGCCGTGCGCGCGCGGCCTCGCGCCGTCTGCCGGCGCCGCCGTGCGGTGCGTCTCGCGCTCGGCCCCCGCCGTGCGGAGCGGGCGCTCCGCCGCCCGCGGGAGGCGCACGGCAGGCCGCTGCGCACCCCTGCGGTGGCGAGCCCTGCCGCGGCGTGCACCGCCATGAGGCGCCCCGCGAGGGGCACCGGAGGGAGAGCTTGGGACACCGGCAGTCGGCCATCGGGGGGGGGGGCCTCGTCGCCATATGGCTGGGCGCAGCTCGGGAGTCTGGTGCGCCTGTACCCCAGGACGGGTCCCGGGGATCGATTCTGAGTTGCCGTTGTCTCAACTCGCCCTGCTCCGACCTTCGCCGCGGCGAGGCGCTGCGCGCGCGCCGACGCGCCTCGCCCGCTGTTCTAGGCCTCCCGCATAGGGTTGGATGGGGTCGAGGGATGGCGCCGCATCGAGACGTTGCGACGTCGGCGATGCGTCTCGTCGATGTTGAGCCCGATCTTGTACAAGCCGATGCATCGGCGATGAGGCGCGATCCTCCGCCCCCATCTACTCTGACTCCATCCGGGAGGCCTCTAGCTGTGGCGGCGCGCGCGCGCGCCTGACTGGCCTCGCCACGGCGCGCGCTCAGCGTTTCTCTCGGCGTGGAGGAGGTGAGGCAGGCCTGGGATGAGGGTCAATCTCGGGGGAGGAAGAGAAATATCGATGCCGCTGCCTTCGAAGTCCTGGCCAGGACGGCCTTCGGGAGAGGTCAACGTAGCAGCTGCATCGGTCAAGTATCGGAGACGCCTACGGCGAATCACCGCCGCCCCTTGCCTTTTGGAATCGCCCACGTGGCCGAACGCTGTTTCCAGAGCACTGCCAAGCTATCGGACCATGTGTACTCCCAGCCGATCTGAAAACCCTTCGGGGAACACGCGGGGGAAAGAAGAAGCGGAGGAGAGGGAGGACAAACCGAGAAGAAGAGGAGGAGGAGCAGCAGCAGCAGGAGCAGGAGGAGCAGGAGATAGAGGAGGAGGAAGAGGAAGAGGAGCAGGAGCAGGAGCAGAAGCAAGAGGAGTAGGGGAGGAGGAGGAGGAGGAGGAGGAGAAGGCGGAGGAAGACGCGGAGGAGGCTGAAGAGAAGGAGGGGGAGTAGACTTCTTGGAAGCCTTTTGGGTCACTCTTGGGGTCTTCTGGGAGCTCCTGGGAGCCTCGTGGAGGCCTCTTGGAGGTCTCATTCGGCCTCTTGTGGGCCCTTGGGGGCTTGTTCTTTGGTCGTCTTAGGGCGTTCTTGGAGACAGTCTTGAGGGCCTCTGTGAACCGACTTGGGGCCCCCTTGAGGCACTTTAGGGCCGTATTGGAGACAATGTTGGGCGTTTTGCATGCCTCTTGGGCCGTCTTGGGGCCGTCTGGGGCTTCCTGGGCCATCATGGGGCCATATTGGAGGCCTCTTGGGCGATCTTGGGGCGACCGTGGGGGCCTCTTGGGCCGTCTCGGGCCGTCAGAAGGCCGAAAAGTAGCCAATTCAAAAGTCCGTCACAAACCTAAGTAGCATCGATAATGTTTGCCCCTGCGGACCTTCCTTCATACCCTTTTGGAGGCCTCTTGGGCCGTCTTGAAGGCTTCTTGGGCGCCTCTTGGGCCGTCTTGGGCCATCTTGAGGCCATCTTAGGCCATATTGGGTGCATCTTGGGCCGTCTTGGAGGCATTTGGGGGTCATCTTAGCCGTCTTGGAGGTCATTTTGGCCGTCTTGGAGGCCATCTTGGCCGCCTTAGGGTTACTTGGGGGGCCATCTCGGGCCATCTTCGTTGTCTTAGAGACGATTGGGCACTTTGTTCGGCAGATTGTGCGGCTCTGCATGTGTCCAGCGCAATGGGCCGAAACCATCGCGGGAGTTCTTTTTTGGAAGAGAACCACAGCCAAAAACCGCAAGAAATTCAGCACGCCAGGCACCCTTGGCAAGATCACAGGGGGCGGCGGATCGAAGACGCCTACGGCGAATCAACGCCGCCCCTTGCCTTTGTGGAAGCCCTTGTGTAGCCGAAAGGGGAACACGTGAGGAAGAGAATAATGAGGAGAAGAAGTAAAAGGGATTAGGAGCAGGAGGAGGAGGAGAAGGAGGAGGAGAAGGAGGAGGACGCCTATTGGAAGCCCCTTGGGGCACTCTTGGGGTCTACTGGGAGCTCCCCCGGGGCCTCTTGGAAGCCTCTCGGGGGTCTCCTTCGGCCTGTTGAAGGCATTTGGGGGGCTTGTTCGGGGCCGCTTTGGCCTACTTTGGGGGTTCTGGGGCCATTTGACGCCGTCTTGGATGCCTCTCTGAACCGATTTGGTGCACACTTGTGTCTCTTCAGGGCTGTCTTGGAGGCCATCTTGGGCGTCTTGGAGGCCTCTTGGGCCGCCTTGGGGCCCTCTTGGGGGCCCTCTTGTGGGCCGTCTTGGGGGCCACTTGGGCCGTCCTGCGGCCATCTTAGAGGCCTTTAGGGCCACCTTGGAACGATCTTGGGGGCCTCTTGGGCCGTCCTGGGCCGTCGGAAGGCAGAAAATGAGTAAACGCCGACATCTTTCAACAACCAACGGAACATCTATGATTTTGGCTTCTGCGGGCCCTCTTTGAGGACCTCTTGGAGGACTCTTGGGCCGTCTTGGAGGCCTTCTTGGGGGCCTCGGTTGGGCGGACTTGGAGGCATCTCGGACATTGTTGGGCCGTCTAGGAGGCCATCGTGATTTATCTTGAACGAACTTGAGGGCCATCTTGGCCGTCTTGGAGGCAAACTTGGGCCATCTTGGAGCCATCTAGACTGGGAACAACCTTTGCAGTCACCTCGAACGCAGCCTTCCGGGTGGCCGGCGGCACCGGCCGAGGCCCAAACCATCCATCACGCCAGGCACCCCGTATGGCAAGACCACAGGGAGCGGCGGATCGAAGACGCTTACGGCGAATCACCGCCGCCCCCTTTTGGAATCGCCCATGTGGCCGAGCGTTGTGCCAAGAGCTCTGCCAAGCTGTCGGGCCATGCAGCCGTTGTAGAAACCCTTCGGGGGAGGATGGCGGGGAAGATCAGGAGGAGGAGGAGGGGGCATCTTGGGAGCCTTTGGGGAAACTCTTGGGCCTCCTGGGAGCTACCAGGGAGCCTCTTGGAGGCAACTTGGGGGCTTCCTTGAGCCTTTTAGGGGCCTTTGGGGGCTTCTCGCGGGCCTCTTTGGCTATCATAGGGCATTCCTGGCCCGTCTGACGCCGTCGAAAGCCATCTTAGGGGTCTCTCTGGGCCGATTTGGGACCCTCTTGGGGTGCTCAAGGGCTGTCTTGGATGCCATTTTGAGTGTATGCCCTCCTGGCCCGTCTGGTGCCGTCGGAAGCTTTCTTGCATGCCTCTCTGGGCTGACTTGGGGCCCTCTTCGGACGCTTCCGGGCCGTCTTGGAGACCATCTAGGGCGTTTTGGAGGCCTCTTGAGCCGTCTTGGGGCCCTTTGGGGGCCGTCTTGGGGGCCTCTTGGGCCGTCATGGGGCCATCATGGAAGGCCTCTTGGGCGATCTTGGGGCGACCTTGGGGCCCTCTTGGGCCGTCTGAAGGCCGAAAAGGCGCAAAGGACAACATTCGTCGAAAACCTAAGGAACATAAATGATTTGGGCCTCTTCGAGCCTTCCTGGAGGACCAATTGGAGGCCTCTTGGGCCGTCTTGGAGGCCTCTTGGGCCGTCTTGGGCCATCCTGAGGCTATCTTAGGCCGTCTTGGGTGCTTGGGCCGTCTTGGAGGCATCTTGGGGCCATCTTAGCCGTCTTGGAGGCTATCTTGGCCGTTTTGGAGGCATCTATCTTGGAGACCACCTTGTGCCATCTTGACGTCTTGGAGGCCATCTTGGGCCGTCCTGGATGATTTGTTGTGGACGATGTGCGCGGTTGCGCGCCTTTCCGAGTGGCCGGCGCTCTGGGTCGGAGCCCCAGGGGACAGTTTTTTTCGGAGAAAGAGCCAAACCAAACTTGTAGGATTTAGCACGCCAGGCACCCGTGTGGCAAGACCACAGGGGGCGGCGGATCGAGTGGCTTTCGGTACATCCCGCCACCGTGCCTGGATTGTAGGTCAAGAGCCTCTGGGATGCCTTTGGGGATCTTTTTGGAGGTTTCTCGGAAGCCTCTAGGATTCGATTTTGGAGTGTCTCAGGGGCCTCAGTGGTCTCTCGGGGACCTCGTGGGACCCTGGTGTAGTCGCAATGCAGCAGATAGCACGTGTGCCTCTCTCTCTCTCTTGTATGTTATGTGTGTGTGTAGTGTAGGGCCCCGACCGCCGTAAACGTTTGACTCAAGGACGCGTCCAGGTTTACTGTTTCCTTTGCGTGTACTGACAAAGGTATCCCATCTTTCTCTCTTCTATCTCACCATTGCCAGGGTCAATCGACCTTGGTAGCGGAGCTTCGGCTCCTCTCGCCGCCCGCCAGGCGGCGCGATCCACGGCTACTTCTACGACTGCGACCACCACGTCCGGGACGCCTATCACAGCACGTTCATCATCATGATGCAGATGCCTCAGGGCAACGCTCAGGCTGGCTTTGGTAATGTGGCAGATCAGACGAGTATCATGGGCACGTTGAAGATTCCTCCAGCTTGGGACAGTAGGTGGCAGAGATTCTATCCATTCAAGCAGTGGTCTCGGAATGTTGTGTGGTGGGCCTTGGCATGTGAGTTACCAGATCAAGCTCAAGGAGCAGCGATCATCTTACGTCTGGGAGGTGTGGCTCGCGAACTCGTGAGCACGCTGGACCCAGCCGTTGTCAGAGACGGTGGTATGAGAGATCTCGGAGATGGGCTCGGCATGAGACAAGTCACTGGATTGGCCATCGTACTTCGTGGACTGCATCGACAGTTCGCTCCACTCGATATTGAGACATCGACTTCATCGATTGCCGAGCTCATGAGTTTCAGACGGATGCCTGGAGAAGATATCGACACGACGCTAGGAAGGTTTGCCAGTCTACAGTTCAAGGCTGGCGCTGAAGGCAATCTGGATTTGGGTCCTGGTGGATTTGCTTGGTTATTGTTGACTGGTCTTCGTATCCCACCGGCTGAGTGGGTGAACTTACTGATTGGATTTCGTGGCAATCTACCGGCTGACGATCAACAGTTCAATGAATTGCTTGGGCTCATACGGCGAGTTGGTCATGTACATCAGCACGGTGGAATAGCAAATAACGCAGCGATGGCAGGACAGAATCAATCTATGATGGGTGGTGCTCCTCAGATGCAGCGTGGACAGGGCAATTTCTACTTCCCGACAATGACAGGCCTAGCAGATCCCTGGGAGCACTCGGACCCCTGGCAGAACAGTGGCACACTCACGCTGGGCGGCGCTCCCACGTCAGCGTATCCAGTCATGCAGCATCAATCGTATCCAATGCAGTCTATGATGCAGACGAGTGCGCCTGGGGAAGCCCTTGGTGGATATATGGCAGACTACGACGACTGGAGCAGCAGCGGCACGACCGGCGAGGAGACACCCCATGCAGAGCTCGAGGCGTACTTATCACAGGTTCGCTGCGCGCAGATACGTTGTGGCACGACTTCTTGGTTACGCGCAGGCGCTGGAGAACATTCACAAAGAAGACTGCCCGTTTTGATCGGCGTCATTCACGACGCAAAGGAAAAGGTCGTGGCTCTGCTTCATCAGGAAAAGGATATCATGGTAATGGAAAGGGTTTCG